CCCCGACACCCACACCCACCCCCACCCCCACACCCACACCCACCCCCACCCCCACACCCACACCCACACCCCACCCATCCGCACCCACACCCACACCCACCCACATGGTAGTCAGCAAGAAAATGAGCATGAAGTGACTGATTTGTGTCAAGAAAATGAAAACGATGACAGTATCATCAATGAAAGAGAGACAAAAAGCTGCATACATAAGGTTTTCGTTCATGTTTTTAACCAATGTTCCCAGGACAGCGAAACTATTGTAACTATTTTGAATGACGTCTTACGTCGTGTAAAAGAAACTGATCCGCAAATAAATAGAGCATTTATCCGATCAGATAATGCAGGTTGCTACCATTCGGCAAACACACTTGTGGCAGTCAAACGGATATCCGAAAAAACGGGTATCGATATCCGACAAATGGATGTTTGTGATCCACAATGTGTCAAAGATCCTTGGGACCGTTATGCTGCTGTTATCAAATCAAATATGCGTCGGTATTTGAATGAAAACCATAATGTTACCAATGCTTCTGAATTTGTTGAAGCGTGGCACTCTCATAAAGGAGTCAAAGGGGCTCTTGCACTTGATTGTGAAATTACGAATAATATGCGTCAAAAAGAAAACAAGTGCAAGATTAAACAGATAACTGATTTTTTTAATTTCGAGTATTTAAGAAATGGGCTCTTAGTACATCGCTCATGGAATATTGGTTGTGGTCTCCTGATACCCTGGCCACAGTTAAATCGCAGTAGCGATGTTTATAGCCTAATTTCTAAAGGCATAGATGGTTTTGCTCATGAATGGGTACAGACTAATGAGAAGTCAGTCGATCAAAGTATAGATGCTGATGGCAGTGATGAACAGAAAGTGATGTTATCACAAAATCCTAACGAGCTGAAAAGCCTATATGAATGTAATGTCGAGTCAGGTTGTACGGCTGAATTCCTAAGGTTCGAAAATTTAGTTAATCACATAATTATCGGTAAACATCATCATGTGATTGAAAAATTATCTTTAAAAGACACGGCGATGAAAATGTATCATTAAAAATTGGAAGAAATCGAAAATCGACGAATGATATCTCTCGATATGAATTTAATAGATGTGATAGATGAAGAAGTGAACCTGCTTCCCTGAGGATGGGCTTTACCATCACTCAGATCGAATTTAGAGTTCTCAAATAAGCAGCGTCTATATTTAAAAGCAAAATTTGGTGAAGGTGTTGCAGGTGTGAAACATTGGAAACCGAAAGAGGTTGCCTTAGATATGGAAAATTTGAGAGAAAATAATAAATTCTATTTTTCAGCCAGCGAGATCTTGAAGGAGACTCAAATTCGATCATTTTTTAGTTGAATAAAGCGCGAAAGACAAATGAGCGCTGCGCACCAAGTACCAAACGATAAAGTATCCATCAAAGAACAATTACTCAAAGATTTGCATGAAGAAAGCAATGACGAAGAGATAGATTCTGATCTTCGGGCATTAGAGGAAGATGATGAAGACATCGAGGCCGCTGTAGAAGAAACAAAAGCATTAGAAAATATTTATAGCAATGCGAAAAAAGCGCTTGAATCTGTTTCATGTACAATAGATCAAGAATAGTTACATCTAGTAGATTGAAGAAGTCTGTAGAAATTCTAAAACTGACACGGGTATACCGAATAATGCCCATATAAAAATTCTAAAATTGGCACGGGTTTACCGAATAAATGATGAATCAATCAGCTTTTATTTTAAAAAAAAATGCTATCTTAGATACTAATGAATTATAAGCAAAATATAATTGATCAACTGATCTCAGCGTACACTAAAGAATCCGATGAAACGAGAGTTATCTTGAGTCTTCTATTATTATGTGAATAATTAACTCGTTTAATAGCTGGATATAAATATTCAACAACCAAATCTATGTGAAATATATGATCACTTGATCTATTCCGATGTAAGTTGCAAGAGGAAACAAGCATAGATACTGGTATAAATGAAACTAATCTAACAAATCCAACAAATTATACTGTTCTATTCTTTTCCTACTCGAGCTGATTATATGTTATTAGATTGATACCAATACTGCTATGTTTTGCGTGATCATAAAAGACTGCATTTCAACTAAAAATTTTACTTCTGCAATCAAAAATATATTCCTATTTTTTAACTTTTATCAGACTCATATATGTTGAAAAAACTTGTGACATTTCTCAGAATAATCAGCGTATAAAACAGCCGAACAAGGCACCTATTTCTTTAAAAGTTAAATAATCTGTACTAAGTTTTCACTATAAATACTGTATCATGGTTCACCATTGCAAGCCAAATTTCGTGACGATAGAAAATTTGTTTTTTTATTTCTTTTTTATCATTTTGTAGAGGAAAAAAAGTTGTACAACATATGTGAAATTCAGTCTGGGGTCTCCTAAAATGACTGAATGGTAGCTGAGACAACGAAAAAGTTTCATATAATTTTCCTTGAAAAATGACTGGTCATCGAAAGTAGTTAACTGATAAAATAAGTTAAGCCGATTGAAAAATCATATCGACATATATCGTTTTGCTCAGCTTTTCAAGCTCTATCGTTTGGTATAAAATGATAAAAATTTCCTTAATTTTTTGTCTTAAAAAAATACAAACTTTAAGTTGATAATTTTTCACCATTTTTTTTTTAAAATGTTGTCAGTGTTCTAGAGTGTCATGTGACAAACTTTTTATTGGCTAGATCAAATGCGCTAAAAATTTGGATTTAAGGGTTTAAGACCATGCTGATTAATATGAGAATGTCAAATCAAAAAAGCAAATTTTATCGAGTGCTTCGTTGTATGGTATGATGCTGGATGGTCTCATGGATCCTCTCTAAATAATATATCTTTCAAAACATCTATATTTTAATATCTCAACATCACAGACGTACTAAAAAACAAAAAATTATTTTATATAATAAGATCATCATATATTTTCATAATTGTTACAAATCTTTTTAATAAATTGCCTGATGATGATGCTAGTATAGTATCGAGAACTCGTAAAAATAGTGAAAAACTTTTTACATTTATTCTTTTTTATTATTAACTTTTTTGCAAATTCTATTTATTTTTCAAATTTAATTAATTGCATTTGAATAAGATATGGTAAATGTGCATTAAAAATATTTCGATGGATGGAAAGATTAATGGTTAAATTAGCTAAAATTCAAAGTGATATTGAATTTTTACGAATGTGTTTGATTTATAATTTTAATTCCAAAATTTATAAGATTTAAATTAGCTAATAAACATCTTGCTTCATTGCCTAAAGTTAAAAAATTTCAATGTCAATTACTTTTAAAAGAATACAATGAAAAACAAAAGAATTTGATTGGAATAAATAAAGAATTAAATAGAAATATAATAAATGGTTTTTATAATATGTTTTCTCCTCATCATCGTTACCGTATAAAATCGCAATTATATGATAAAGAACAATACAAATTAGCTCGATTTAAAAATTTACATTCAATAAAAATTTCTAAATTATTAAATGCATATGGAGATTATACACGAGCTCATCTTCTTTCTATAGACAAATTAGTATATAACTTATCATCACAATTACTTACTTTACCACAATTAAAATTATTAAGTAGAGGTTGGAAATTTTGTATTGAAGAAAGAATTACTAAACCATTAAATATACAAATTGAAATAGAATATGAATTAATAAAGATAAAAGAAGAATCGGAAAAGAAAAATATTGATTGGGAGCAATTATGTAATAGAATTAAAGTTATTTCTAATGAAGTGATAAATAAATGTGGAAACTTCGGATTTAAATCCGAGAGTTATGTGTACTTCAAAAAGTGAATTAAACAGATAAGTCATCCTAGAATGTGTGGACATCAAAATTATCCTGGCAAATATTTCCTATAAACACTTGACTTCTATTGGCTATTGCTCACCCAATATGACTTGGGGGCGAATACAGATCAGATTCGAA